TTCTTCTCTATGATTGCTTAAGCAGCTGCAGCGGATCAGCCCACCCTCACCGATCTATCATTTAACACTCAAGGCCTTCATTTTCTCTTTTGTTTTAATTCTTCTTTCTCTTTAAATTTGAGCCTTTTCTTCAGATGTCAAATTCTGGTATCCAATGAAATACAAATGTCACCCTCCCCTTTCACTTTGATGCATCTTATCCGATTAAAACCAATTTTAAGCATATTTTGTATTGACTTTATGTGACAGATCAACACAAATCAGTACAATTATGCAATGGAAAAAAAAGATAGATTTTTCTTTTTTTTTTTTTTTTGAAATAATCTTTGTTCAACCCCTGTTATTGTAATTATTGGTGGTTCTCAGGGGCGTCTCTAGGTTTAAGACACAAGGGTGGCTCAGCCCCTATTTTTTCAGTGCACCTGCTAAGGCGTTGTCTAAGACAAGGGTGTAACTTTGTGTTGAAAGTTGGTGGGGACGCTCATAAGGAAAGGGAGCTACCTGCGCGACGCCTTTTTTTTTTTGTTGGAAAGGATAAAGCCAAAAAAATGCGAATAACATTTATCAATTTAATGCTTACAGTTGAAAACATAACTGTTACAATATTCACTTATATATTTTGTGTCAAAAATATCACATAAATCTAAACAGACAGTACAAATCAAATAAATATATCAATTTTGTAGAACATTTATTGACAGTCAATTTTGGGTCACGTTTTAAAATTAATTTACTTTTAAACCAGGACTCGGACAAGATCTTATGGGACCTTAAGCAGAATATGATTAAGCAACTCCGTCTTTCTGTCAAGAACATCCACCAGCAGGGTATCCAGGGGGGGATTTACCATTAGGCAATACTAGGCAGTTGCCCAGGGCCCCAAGTTCTGGGGGCCCCATAAAACTCTGTTTCCATTTATGGTTAATACAACTAATCCTTATTTGTGCACATTAATTATGTTTTTGCTAAAAATCCTTTGGCTAAAATGCCATCAGAACGCTGATAAATAGAGAGAAAAAAGGGACAAGAAGAGAGGGACAAAACCTAGAACAGATAATTCAATTCAATTCAATTCAATTTCAATTCAGTTTATTTATATAGCGCCAAATTCACAACACATGTCATCTCAAGGCACTTTACAGTTCAACCAGATCATACAGTCAAATTGAATGATCCAGATAATGGATGTCTATTCTATTAACATTTCTCTATCTGTAGAATGGGTCTGTTTTATGGGTTTTCTTCTCAGGGGGCCCCCTGCCTTTGCCTAGGGCCCCAAATTTCCTAAATCCGCCCCTGAGGGTATCAATACTGATTTGATAGAATCTGGGAGAGCGGACTATGTTCAACCATCCATTTTCTTTAACCTTATCCCTCAGTGGGATCAGGAGGTGCTGGTGCATATCTCCAGCCACGTTTTGGGTGAGAGGTGGGATCACCCTGGACAGGTCACCAGTCTGTCGCAGTATGTTCAACCAGCTTAAAAGTAATCGGTAATCAGATTTATTATTTGCACTTTTACTAAGTGAACTTTCTAACTCCCTTAAATCTGAAATTCCAATGCCAAAATTGTTTAAATCTTTTATCTTTGGACCCCCTGCAGAGTGACGTCACACCTGCAAGATCCTATCCTTACCTTCCTGCTAGATTGCAAAAAGCAGCTTGCTCATGAGTTGTCAACATAACACGCTAAATCTTAAATGTACGTGTAGGCCTACATATAAAAGAAAAAGGGGCGCAGTGCTTGCTACTGAATGGCAACACTATCAAAGTCAGGAAAAAGTTTTAAGTGAAGCCGGGATTAAAACAGTAGCTACAAGAAGCTTCAAATAAAAGGTGTTCTTCATGTTCAACCTAAACACCAACTCCGATAGACCATCAGTAGAGCAGGTGTTTAAATTAATCAATCACTGCTGCGAAAGCTTATAGCAGTGAAAGCTAATATACCACAGCCATCACTTAATAAACGCAAAATAAACAACCCTCTAAAAATGGAAAACTGTAATGGACTGAAAGTCCTGTTTTTTATGTGGGAAATTATTTGCGTGTGTTTTAGTATAATTCTGATATATTGGCGCTGTTGTCTGTTTCTATGGCAACGATACTGAATGTAGTGTAGCTTAGAGACCTGCATGGGTCGAGTTTTACCAACCCGCACCCGCCCGAACCCGTTAGGATGACTACCGAACCCGACCCGTCACCCGCGGATATCTTCAATTCAAATGTTATGGGGAGAGGTTGGAGGGGGGTGATGGGGAGAAAGCGAGAGGCAACAGATTCTTTTTTCTGAGTTTTTTTGTCGGGGTTTGTGGACGGTGAGCAGCGGGGAGAACTTTTTTTATTTTCTTTCTGAGGAGCGGCATGAATGGGGTTTTAATCAGATATACACAGCACCGAAAGCAAAATACGTGTACAAAATATTGGTGGGGACTGTCCACACCAGTCCTTAAGGAAGTTACGCCTATGATTGTTTAGATTAACTTGTCTTCTTTATGGCTTTTATTCGGTGCTTTACTGCATTTGTTTTGGGAAAATATGAGGAAATAATAAATACAGAAAAAAAATATATTTTTTTTAAAATCGCAAAATAATTATAGGGTGGCTAATGCCAAAGAAAGGGTGGCTGAAGCCACCCTTAAATAGGTCTAACGACGCTTATGGTGGTTCTAGAATCTAGATCAACATTTTTTGGGGGGTCAGTGTTTTTTTTATGGGAGCACTAAACAAAAGAATGAAATGAATGAAAAGAATGAAACAATAACACTTAATATTTTAAGTTAATGTAAAGCTATGAAATCCGCAGCTGTATGACTGAAGCTAAAGTGCAACAACTTTTTAAATCGCAAATCAAATAAAATTGAAAAAAATAATTATTATTATTCCAAAGAACTTATCAGTTGTAGGTTTGGTCCTAATTAATATAAATATTAATATAATTAATTGATCACAAATGTATTCTATATTATGTCTTTGGTAAAGGGGCCGTAACAGGGTCAAGGTCCAGGTCTGCAGGGGTGCTGCCCCCTGTTGGCCCCCTCTGTAGCACCGCCCATGACTCTTTAATAAAACTACCTAAACCTAAAGCAATTTTCCAAGCTTTAAAAATCTCACAAAAGTCAATTTATGATCTAAAAATGAAAGAATATTGCACAACTGGAAACCAGATGTGAGGATGTTTTTTTTTCTGCAGGTACAGGGAAGATTGTTTAAGTTCATGGAGGCATGCAGCTAAATATTGAGACTGCAAAAGATAGAAGTATAGTTCACCTTCCAACTGATGGACAACCTCGTCTCATTAAAAAATGTGTTATAGCCTCCAAAAAGAAGTATTTTCATAGTTTAGCTCCTACATATATTCTTTTTTTTTTTTTGGCCTTCACTAGATTAGTAAAGGGTAATTTAGGGAACTTTTGGGCGCTGAATATATCGACATTACACCTTTTTTGAGGTTTTTATTTCTGAAAAACTTCTGAAAAATGCATTCTTTTCTTTCCGCTTTTTATCTAATTTAAATTAATAAAATTCCCCTTAAAATGCATTGAAGTTCTACCTGTTCTTGACACAAAAAACCTCAGGAGTAAATACTTTTAAGGTCCATTAAACACTCTGCTATTATGACTAAATAAAATACTTCCGAAACGAATAATCAGAGTAAAAATTGAAATTCAATAACTGTATTTTTAACTCATAAATAAAATATTAAAAGCTTACCAGAGAGATGTGTTAGCTTTCTTTCCTACGGTTAGGCTTTAATGGCTGATTTGGCGCTTCAGCTTTTAAACACAGTTTCTTTAGAGCCAGTAGCAGCTGTTTAAACCAACAAAAGTGCAGCAACAGCTGACCTCTGGGCAGCTGCTTGTATAGCAAGCCATTTTGTACAAAAATTGTATGTCCTTAACATCAGCTGTCATTTTCATATACTATTTTGAAGCTACATTAAACTGTTTGCTTACATCAGCGTGTTATTTTGCCAATGGTATTTATGGTCAAGTTAATGCAGCAGAGGTCAAACTGGTATCAATAATTAAACATGAAAATATATATTTTTAATTTGTATTCATCATATATTACCAGAAATATTGGACTTGAAATATTTTAAAATGTTTATAAATGTGATAATTCAAATAGAACTGGAAATAATTAAATCAATATGTGTCAAATGTGTGTAAACTTAATCGATATAAAAATTTAGGTCAATAATGAAGTCCCTGCAATCAGAAATATTTAGTAAATTTTAAATCTTTCTCATTTTAAAAACATGTAATTCAGGATTCATTCTTAAAATATATACAGTTGTATTCAATGAATTTAATAAATTGCAATATTATTGAAAACTTAATACATTTCTTTAACTCAATTTAACAAGTGGAACCTATTATATGGATTATTATAAACAGACTAATATTTTCAAGCCTGTATTTTGCATATATAGAGTGATATTTTTGTTATTAACTAATAAAAAGTAAACATTTAAAATCAGATATTCATGTCTCATAACAAAGTATTTTAATGGAGAAATGTAGTGTTGCTTAAAATTATTTCTTATCCTGACTTAAAATGTATTGTTAAAAATGTATTTTAAAACTGACAAATAAGCCTAAACAAAATTTAAATTGTTTACTAAATAGGACATAATCTGAACTAACTTATGCTTAGATCATCTTACAACCTTGGAGTGATAAGATGTAAAACCATAGTTGACATTAGGAACATGGCACAGTTGCTTATGTTTTTCTTTATATTTGGTTTACTTTGAAAAACGTATTTGTTTATAAATAAAAAGAGATAACAAGATATATATATATATATATATATATTTGTATATTATTTTTATTTATAAACATTAGGGTGTTTGCAACAGATAAAAATCATTAAGATTAATAGGGGTGCCCAATCCTTTTCTTTTTCTTATATATATATATATATATATATATATATATATATATATATATATATATATATATATATTTGAAGGGTCTGATTTCACTCCTGTCCTGCAGGTGGCAGTAGTGCGCCGCTCTTTAGCAATCACGTCACATCAGGAATACCCAGTAAACACAGCAGCAACATCAGGACGAATATTAAGCTAGTAAAGCAGGAGTTGGACAGAAAGGTGAGATTTTTTTATTGTTTTCTAAGATTTCCTCTCTGTAAATTATCAAACTGTAGCTTTTTGTAAAGTATTTTAGGTTAAACCAACCCGGAACTGACTATGTATATTGCCTCCTAAACCAAGCCATCATATGTGGCATATGTTACCTTATGGATGAAAGAGAAAGTGCTAAAGGAGCATTGTAACTTATGTTAGAAACTGTAATTCAAATTAAATCCATTTACCTCAAGACAAGTGTATACAAATATGTAATAAAAAACTAGTTAAATGTGTTTTTTAAAGCTATTGATGCGATAAATACATTTCCTAACGTTCCTAACGATTGTAGATTTAAAGAGTTGAGAAGGACAGTGATCCAGAGCTGAAGCATTAGGGACAAAGCCTCCTTTTTTAGGAGACTCTGCAGGAGGAGGTGTCTCAGATTTAAACTCAGTCAGCATACCTTGACTGGGCTCATTGATAGGTGGGTATAGGGCAGCATTCAGAGCAGGTATGTCTCTTTAAAAGCATTTATTCTTCTAAGTTTGTCAGATTTCCATGGCTATCTGTTTCCCTGTGGTATAAATACATGATTTAATGTAATCTAATGTGGGCTTCCTTCCTCTGCAGGAGTAGCTTCCCTCCAGTAGTGATGTGTTTATCTCATCCCGGTTAGTGTCAGAGGTTTATACGTAAACCTCTCCCTCCCTGTCCTTGAAGACCTCCACCGACCTACCACCACCTCCTTCCTCCTCCTTTGGCTCCTCTTCCTCCCTCCATCCATCCCTGTGATGCCTCCCTCGTGCTCTGGCTGTCTGTCACAGTACACCCATCATCATCTGGTGGTTTTTCTCCTCACCTTCTTTAGGTAATCTTGAAAATTGGATGGTGAGATCTTGCTGTGTCGCTCTTATGGCGGTTATATAATAGGAACGTTTGGAGTCGGAGAGCGGGGTTGGATTTAGCAGGAGCGACAATAAAATATGCAATGATTTTTAACAAACAATCAGAGCGGAGAACAGATTAATATCTTCCCTCCAGTTTGTTACACTTTAAACTGCATTGGGGTCAGATTCCAGCCTGATTATGGATATGTGTTGATGCAGCTTTCCTTTTCAATTGACTCCCTCTGTTTTACCCAAACTCAAAACTAACAACAGATGAGCTGGTTCTCTCTTTCTAAAAGGAAATTTTGACACGACATACCACCAAATTCCCAGTGTTTGTGTCTTAATTAACTTTTAGGTCGCCCTACGTATGTCTTTCAAATCTTCACCAACCCCTTTTATTTTTTTGTACATGTCATGTTAAAGCCTCAAACTTCAATGCATTACTGGGTTTCATGTGCTAGATAAACAGGAAGTATCACAGCCGTGTTACATAGACATAGAATTGGAAGGAGAAACTGTTAGCAGCAAACCTGTGAAAGAGGGACTGTGGTCAGAACTTCTGCTCTTCACATTATCCTCACAATATAGCATAGTGGGGGAAGCAGCATGCTGAGGGGATGCTTTGTCTCCCTAAAACACATTCTAGTTGATGGTTACAATGTAAAAAATAAAAATTAAAAAGGATTGTTTGCATTATTATTTAACTTTCAGACTGTTGCGGCTTTCAGGAGATGACTAGCTTTGTCTAACATTCATTGTGTTCGTGTTCAGGATTAAAGGTCAACAAGGCAAGATTTACTCAGACCTTAGATTAGATAGAAATGGCTGTCAGTAATGATTTCCAATATATGTTTCTTACAACTTTAAAACTGTGAACAAAAGTTTTGTAATGAGCGATTGTTAGCTAGATAAACCAGCAGGACAAACGTTCTCTGTAATGATTATCTCCCTCCAGCTATGTGCTGCTGCATGCATCCAGGAAGACGTTCAGCAACGTGAAAGTCAGCATCTCGGCCCAGTGGACGCCGTCCGCCCAGAACCAAAGCGCTGCAGCCTTCTCTCCAGGCGAGGTGCCTAAGTTTAAAAGAACACAAGCTTTTTGGGGAATAAAGGAACTTTTATGGAAATCCAAATGAACAAAAACATGTTTTTGGCAAAACAAAAGAAAAAAGGGAAGGTTTTTATCACTTAGTGTGTTTTCTGTGACTATGCAGACATGGGAGGACAATCATCTCTTTGCTGATGAGAAGCATGCTACGCTGTTTCTGGGAGCTCTGGATTCCATCTTCCTCTTCTCATACGCTGTGGTGAGTCCGGCTCTAGTTCCTTAGCAGAGGATTAAAATAAAGCAAAGCATCACGGTGCGTTTGCTCCTCCCTGTGCAGGGCCTGTATCTGAGCGGCGTGATCGGGGACAGAGTCAACCTGCGCTACGTGCTCTGCTTCGGCCTGTGCGGGTCTGCCATAGTGGTTAGTATGCAGGGAACATGGCAAACGATCCAACTAACACTTGAAAGTAATTTTTGTTTCTTCTGATGCATGCACTTTGCAGGAATTTGTTTTTGGCACCCTGACCGAATGGCTCCACATCTACAACGTCTACCTGTACTGCGGCCTGTGGGTGCTGAACGGCCTGCTGCAGTCGGCGGTTTGGCCCTGCGTGGTGGCCGTCATGGGCAACTGGTTCGGCAAAACGGGGTGTGTGATAACTTTGTGCTGAGCTGCATGCAGAGTCCTGAAATCTGAGGTCCAAAGTTGTGTGTGCACACACGCACAGTGAGGTCCATTCATAGACGCTCCAGCTGAAACACAGACTTCATTTAAGATCAGTTTTCCTCTGCAGGAAGGAACATAAATCACACGCTGTGCTGCTTTCTGCAAAAATAGTTCATGGATTTGTATATGGAGAACAAAAAAGAATTAATATATGAAGAGGAATTTGTCTAATCTTTTTTTTTTCGCTCTTGGTTTCCAGGCGTGGATTCGTGTTCGGTCTGTGGAGCGCTTGTGCGTCTGTAGGCAACATACTGGGCGCCTTCCTGGCCTCAAGTGTGCTGAAATATGGATATGAGGTTGGTCAGTTAAAATATATCAGCTTTCTCTGATTTATTTTTATTTTTTAACCCCTTCAGGTAAAGAAGATTGGTTTAATTTCTCAGCATCTAGCTTACAGTAAAATGACATTTGAGGAAAAACCAAAGCAGGAGTAAATCTGGAAAAATAAACTTCTGTAAGCTAGATCTGACAAAAAAGTATCCAGCCAGATAATTGCAGCTTATTCTCTGTTTTTATTTACAGTAAAATCAAACAGGCTGCATGTAGCAAAACGTGGAGGAAGTTTGGAAAATATTAATCATCGTCTCTTGGTTTTGAATCTTATAACCTGGTATTCTAACTGCGATAATGAGACGAACCCTCATTATCGCGTTACCTTCTGTTACTTCGAGCTCCGCCCGGGTTCAGGCGCTGATGTGGAGTTTGTTGTGTTTCTCGTTGGCAGTACGCCTTTCTGGTGACGTCTGTGGTGCAGTTTGCTGGCGGGGTGGTGGTGTTCTTTGGCCTCCTGACCTCACCGAAAGAAATCGGTAAGGCTGATCGAAGAATGTAAAAAGGCAGGTGATCGGGTTCAAATGTTGAAGTGAGTCGTGTTGCGGTGTGGCAGGTTTGCACTTTGAGTTAGAAACCGGAGTCGGTGCGGTGGAGACGGACGCGGACAGCCACCGACCGCTGATGAGTGACGAAGAGGAGGAGGAGACGTACAGCCAACAGCGCCGCTCAGTTCAGACCCCAGACGAGCCGATGGAGGAGCCTCCCAGAGCCATCGGCTTCCTCCAGGCTTTCTGCCTGCCTGGAGTTCTGCTTGTGAGTCAGAATTAGTTCCCATAATGCATCCTGTTCAAATCCCCTTCAGCTCCTGATCTTTTCATTTAAAACTTTTCTGTCAGAAATGGTTAACATGTTGACGTAAAAACGTCTGACGGTGACATATGTCTCCTCCTCAGTACTCCCTGGCGTACGCCTGCCTGAAGCTGGTCAACTACTCCTTCTTCTTCTGGCTTCCCTTCTACCTGAGCAACAACTACGGCTGGAAGGAGGCGCAGGCCGACCGGCTGTCTGTCTGGTACGATGTCGGAGGAATCGTCGGTAATGACCTGAAAGGCGGAGGCGTCTGCGTGCCGAGTGTGACGTCACTGGAGTCTGAGTATCTGTGTGTTTGTTGCAGGGGGAACCCTTCAAGGTCTGATCTCTGACCTCATGGGGAAGAGAGCTCCAGTGTTGGTTTTCAGCCTCGCCATGGCGATGGGCGCCCTGGTGGGATACAGCCGTGAGTGTTTGCAGCTGCTTCCTTTAAAGCCTCTACTGAATGATGAGTTATAGTTTATAGAGTTTATAGTTCTGCCTTCTGAACCCTCAGGCTCCCCTGATGACAAGGTGATTAACGCAGCGATCCTCGCCGCCACCGGCTTCTTCATCGGCGGCCCGTCCAATATGATCAGCTCGGCCATTTCTGCTGATCTGGGGAGACAGGATGTCCTGAGGGGAAGTCAGGAAGCTCTGGCTACTGTCACTGGGATAGTGGATGGAACCGGGAGCATCGGAGCCGCTGTAGGACAGGTGAGCCTTTAAACAAGGTACTTTCTAATGCTATTAGAAAAATTCAGCAGATGCCGTCATCATTACTTTAGTTCAGTATTGTAGCAAAACCTTTCACCATATTTTCATAATAGTCAATAATATTAGCATTTTACCGCCTAATGCCTCAATTTATACCCAGATGAATGAAACATTTTGTTTTTTTGTGCTTTGCTGTCAGTCAGATGTAAGATAACATGGAGGTTTTTCATTTTAACATTTCATTCATAGTAAATGTACATTTAGACTAATTAGCAACACTAGGCATCTAAGACATAAAACCCATTTTCAGTCTAGGTTTGTTGACTATTTTCATTAATGCTGTTTTCTTAAACAAGACTTGAATTAAGTCTAAACATGTTTATGAGCTAATGGAGCTAATTCTTAGAAAATGGCATGCTCCATATTCCCTGGATCTGCAAGGCTTTTCTTTGCTGTAAGAAAACAGTGTTAGAAATTGACCTTTAACCTGTCTTTTTGAACAATGGTTGTATTTTTTATATCAAAGTGTTTCCAATTTCATGTTGCTGAGCTTCCCCTTTAGCTGCTAAACCCCTTTTCAATAAAAAGTCAGTGGAAAAATGTAATCAAAACAATTGCTATTTGATAACTGCTGCTTTTTTGTCAGTCAGTGTTTCAAATTCAGCAAAATATTTTATAAAATCACATCACTGTAAAGTCCTAGGAGTTTTTATTTGCATGTTTCATAAATCAGTCTTGTGTTATGGGATTAATTACTCATTTATCATTTTGTTCATAGTTTTAAGCTATCGTTAGAAATTAGCAAAATGGAAATAAATTTATTCTGTAGACTTTTTCTGCAGTTATATCCTAATCAGTTCCTTAATTGGTTAAGTTAAAAAGCTTCAAATCCCCAATTAACTTTAGGAATTTAAGTCAGATGTTATCCATGCTTGTATATCAGTTGTAAAAAAAAAAACATTAATAAGCCTGTTTTTGATGCACAACCTGAGTCAGATTTAGAGAATTTAATGAGTTAATCGGCCAAATTCAGTGTGTCTCACAGTGCAACCTTCCAAAAAATGTATTATGCATAAACCATGTTGGCTGGATTCAGACTGGAAGTGGTGGGATGCTAATTATGAAAGAAGCTCTGCTCCTATCAGGATAAACTGTGCATTTCTGGAGGCCATAGAAAAAACTGAAAATTCAAATATTTCAGGCCCCTTTTTCTCCAATACCTTTAATAAAATCCGGAGCCTCTAGCTTCCAGAGTTCACCTTTGCATCTCTAATCTTACAGTATCTGGTGTCGCTGATTGAGAGCCGGCTGGGCTGGATGAGTGTTTTCTACTTCTTTATCGTCATGGTAAGAAGACACTTTTCTGTTTTCCAAATCAGGGTCATGATTTTAATTCATATCAGCGTTTTTTTTGTTTTATTTATGGTGTGAAACTCATAATTATTTGGTATCGACAGACGGGGGGAAGTATCGTCTTCATCTCGCCGCTGCTGGTGAAAGAACTTCGAGACATGTGGAGGAACAGGCAAGCTCTGCGACACCAGCTCTAAGAGCCCGACCGCCTTATCAAGGACACCTCGGTGCGTTTGTTCCGGTTCTGATCAGTAGGTTCAGTTTGTCCAACTAGAGAACTCAAAAAGGTGCCTGCCTCCAGCCATACTAGTGTCTGAGTTTTAACTTTATTTGATGTAAATACTTTCTTTTAATGCACTTAAGTTGAGATTCAAGTCTTAAATCAGAAACATGAGAGCTGTGAAGGTTGCGAATAATGATTTTTAGCTTTGTAAAGTTGCACTAGAGATCTGAATGAACCACTTTAATCTCAGTTGCCTCATCTGTTTTATCTTTACAGTCGAGATGGAAAACTGACCTGTAAACTTTTATTTTCACTTTCTTTTTAGCAGAATTTCTCAATTATTAGTTTCTGTCGCCCTACATACTGATCACAACTCTCGTAAAGATCAGTAATCATAAAACGTTAGAAAAAACGCCATCTTCTTACTGTGCTTACAGATTAACACCTGGATTTGATTCTGTAGCCTGCTTTTAGGGAGGGCTGAATGTGTTTTTACTTCAAGGTTCCTTAAAATAAAATCAAAATATTAGTATAAATTAGATAAAAAGAGAATAATGTTCTTTTATCTTTGATTTCGGATCTAGGATATTTTCTCTTTGATGTAACATTTCAAAACTTGACAAGCTGTGCCATAAAGATGCCTCACTTTGTGCTTAATAATCCATCATTAAACCAATTGAGTTTTTTTGTACAAAGAATTCATCTAAGGCTGAAAACTAAAGATAAAAAAACTTCTTTCTATCCACAAGATAAAAATGTCATTTTCTAATTAAAGGCTAAATCCTCTCATTAAAGAATCCCTCGTTAAATGTATATTTTACCTCAACAAAATAGTTTGTGTAGAGCTGCAAAACCACCTTAACCCCTGCAAAAGATGTTTTTCGGAAACATTTAATTAAATTTTTTTTTTTTTTAGATTTTAAGGAAATAAATGTTAAGGAAGAATTTTTTAAAACTATAAATACAGCTGCCTGGAAGAGGTTTTATTTACATAATTAACTGGTTATAAAAGAACAGAGCTTCAAGTTCCAGACCTGCTGCTATAAAGCATTTACCGGTAAATTAAACTTTTTATTTAATTTGTGATATTTTCAGAATGTAAATAATTACTTTAAAGTTTTTTTTTCTGTTTTTATCAGGGGTGTAAATTACAGAAGAGGATTAGGGCCACTGGAAAAAAAAAATGTTTACTGATTTTAAAAATTTATTTCAGTTTAGTATGGGGATTCTGACTTTAATCTCAGAATTCTGACTTTTTTATTGTCTGAATTCTGACTGAATTCTGACAATAAAAAAGTCAGAATTCTGACTTTTTTCCCATACTAAACTGAAATAAAATTTAAAAATCAGTTAACTTTTATTTCTTTTTCCAGTGGCCCTAATCCTCTTCCGTAGTAAATAGATGTGAAGAGAGCTGTGTCTTTATTCAAGTTTGAGGCACAGGCTTTGAATCAATCTAGATTCTGGACTACCGGTAACTGTAGCAGAACTCTTTAAAATTGACTTTTCTGGTCACATCAACCAAAATAATGCCCCTGTTTTTAATGAAATCTTCCATGTTTGTTTTTTTGAGCCATCTGCTGATTTCTGATATATTTCTCTTACTTAGAAGTCTTTATCCCTATAGTTCTCTCTGCTCTCTGATCATTATGTGAATCAATTCTGTAAATGAGGAGAAAATCACTTTCAATACATACAAAATAATTAAGGGGGGATGTTTATATCCTGTTTTTTTTGTAATTTTTTTTATTATTTATGTATATATTTAAACTAACTATTTCTGTTGTAAATAAATGCAAGTTTCATGTTATCCAACATTCCTTGAAGCTTTAGTTTTGCACCAAATCCAGCAGGGGGCGCTGTCAAGGCTTCACATTTAGCCTCTTCTTGGAAACAGAAACTGAAATGCAATAATTTAAGAAGCACAGCAGTTTGATTTATCATTATGTTTATTTTACCGATTGAACAAACCAAATGAAATGTATTACCAAACGTTGGAGGGTAACAATACAAATATTATTCCAAAGAAGAAAAGATGCGTAACAAAAGCTACATCTTTACATGATCAGACGATACATAAACAAGCCTTAAATATCAATAGAATGTTACAAACTGTGTACAAATACTTTACATTCATGCATGTACAAAATAACAAAATTCTTGTTAAAGCTGCAAAAGAATTAAATGCAAGCTTTTTATATTTTTTTGATCTCTGATGCATGGATTAATGCAGCTACAATAAGTTTCAGTCCAAAGTGTCCTTTCCTGTTTTCCGAAGAACTCAATATGCCAAAAAATAAAAGTAGTACTTCTGTATATAGTGCAAATATATAGTTTAGATATAACCTGTATGGGTAGACAGGAGGAAAGTAGGGAATCTTAGACTTTTTAAAGCTGAATGGGACGTTTTCTCAGGACGGTTCTTCATTAAATCTGTTTTTTTTAATATATATATATATATATATATATATATATATATATAGTTGCTTTATCCCCCCCTATTGCTGCTCCACTTGCCTTATCTGTTCAGGGAAAACTCACACGAAAATTGAAGCAAAACAAAAGCGGCCAAACCCACGCAGCAGCCCTCACCCCGCCTCCCAGGGGCCACCGCTCTAACCCACCACAACAGAACCTCAATCTCTCTCTTCAATCTTCACTTTCATGTCCCCTAAACATAAACGGGCTCAGCTGCTTTAATGAAATCATCGAATATCTCGTTGAGGTAGTAAGAGAGGATAAATCCAGCATAATATGGCTATTTGTGTAAAACTACTGCTGCAATATCCCATAGATGGAGAAACCTGCTGACAGCAAACATCTAAAATCCTGCTCTTTCTGCTTCGTATGGCTTGATAAAATCAAAAGAGGTACAAGAACGGAGCCATTAGCTGTTATTAATGAACATAGATGATCAGAACATCTTGGATTTGTTGCCATCAAAGGCTCATGTGCTTAAAAGTCATTTTTTGGGCAAATCTTTAACCCTTTAGGGGAAATTAGCATAAAAAAATTATATATATAAAGCTACAGATAGATTTAAACCCAGGTTAAGAGGATTTGTTATGGACAATAAAAAGGATAAAAATAAATTCTGTCCAAACAATAAATCCCTTTGGGATCCATTCCTCGGCTGCCTCCATCTTTTTTCCCCCAATTGTGACATTCGCCTGCATGCAGAATCAAAGAACTGGATCGCAACGAAATACGCAGGAGAGAGCTTTACTTTTTATATTTTATGCTAAAAAAAAAAGAAAGTATTTGAAATCTCTGGAGAAACTAAAAACACCACGTTCCCTTAATGGATCAAAATAAATGGAAAATGCTACATATTACAAGCATAAAGCTGACTAAAACACTCAACATGTTCCATCATGTTGCTCAAACGATCGTTACAAACCCCTATTATGCTGATATTACAAAGCAAAAGTAGTTTATTTGTACATTATTATTATTCTTTGTTGAACTTTGGAGTTTTTAATGACTTCCTGTTTAAAGCCTTTATAGATTTACAAAGTTGGGAGTGTTACAGAGATTGTCATCAAGTCCAAATGCTGCAAGGCACGGCAGTTTGTGTTTATCTTACCTCGTTTTCCACAACGGATTATGGTTATGCTCTTTTTTTTTTAGCTATTATTTTAGAAAATAATCTTGCAACGTGACAAATATAAATAATTTTTACTACTACGCTCCAGGCTGGAGCTAATGAAAGGGATGCGGCCGCCTTTTGACCCCTGATCTGACTCAAGCTTTTAGAGCCTCTGGGTGAAACCAAAGCACAGCGTGTGCTGAGCGTGCCGGCAGTAGGAAACTGCTAAGATCGATAACAGGGAATGAGTTGGAACAAAATAATTATAATACTAATAAATGAACAGATCAGAGACTAATGTCAACCTCTATAATCTGGTATCCTATTTTTTCTGTTTTAGGATCCTGAATGAGTGCATTTGCAATTATTTCACAGTATTGTAAAAAGCTGAGCAAAACCGTATAGAAAAATACAGTATAAGTATATATATATCTATATATATATATAATATATATATCCACAGAATACTAGAATCCGAGCCTGACTAAATTAGGTAGCTTCCTTGTGCTGAAAATTAAACGCGAGGTGAATTCCAAGGTTTTAAGGCCCAAGCTTGTATGAGCTTATTAAATGTCTGGATTAAATTGCTACATATATACAAAAGATCTACATCAGGTTGAGTGTAGAGAAGTGGAGAGCACTTAGTGATGTTCCTCTGGAGGTGGTTGCACTTTTCTACTGCCGAGAGGACGTTTTGCAATGCAGAAGCTTCCTCTTTTTCACCTTAAAGAAATCTGAAAAAAAAAAAAAACAATAATGATGATTAGATTCTTATCTAACAGCATGGAGAGGAAATGAAGCAGACGTGTGAGTAGCAGCGTCACCTGTGATAGCCGACTGTTTGCGCTTTTCTAGCCGCTCTAGTTGGTAGCGCCCTCTTGTGGTCACTTCCAGGTACTCGTCTCCGGAGCCTGACGAGCTGCGGGAGACGGGGGAGCTGGCCTCGTCTGATGACAGTGAGTTGCTCCTCACGTTTCTTCTCGCTGTGACCCGAGGCTTTACCAAGCAGGTCCTGTAAAACGCCGGCACATCCTGGCACCTCAGCCCCTCCCACTCCACGCTTGCGCCCTCGCCTGGCATGTCCCTCTGGAAGTCGAAGTTCCAGCGCTTGTTGGCGACCTCCACGCTCATTCTGAGGAGCTGCTGGAATTCCTGCTGGAGCTGCTGGTGGTCGACTGGGCCGAAGAGGTTCCTCCGGGCGGGACCGACTCTCAGCTTCAAGGCCTCTATGCCTTGGAGGTTTGACATCTCCAAATCAGACGCCATGTTTCCTCTGGACGTTGTCGACGTAGAAGCCATCACCATGTCCCTGTTTGGTAAACAAATTCAAACAGAAGTGTAAACATTCAGGAACATCTAAAGAAAGAAAATAGATCCATCTGCGTTTTACTCCACAAATAACAGTTATTTGCCATGTTTCTGGATCCAACCTACTGAGGAATCACTATGCCAGCGGGGACGTCAGCCAACACCCAATAAACCTCCGACCTTTTTAACAACCAGCTGTGTCTAAAAGAACCAGAGTCTCCACCTGCTCTGGAGCCTGCCAGTCAAAGGTCACACAGGAGAGGTCCATGAAGGCCTGTGGTGAGGAATGTTTCCTGCTTTCTCCAGTTAATTAGAGCAATCCAGCTGAATTCCTAGATGCAGCTTCAACCCATTTTTCAGCTCTCTGTGAATGAAGCTAACTTACATCTGCCTCTAAGAAAATGGACAGAATTTAACATTCGTTTTTCTTTAACATATATGTCAGCACATCATGTGCTACTGAAAAACTACAACAGTCTCAGTAAAAGCGAAGTCTTTCTCACCACGGAAAGCTAGATGGCGCAAATAAACAGACTCGATTGTCTTTAATATAAACAATAAAAAATCTATTTGTCAAAAAAGGAAGAAAAAAGGTGTTATTCCAAAGCAGCAACACATATACACCTGTTTTTTGGCCCCCATGGTGTTCCTTAGTAAGGTGCTGGTAGCTATTAAATAAACATTACCTCTGGTAATTATGTGGTTACATAAATGTATTCATATAATATTAGAGTGCACTAAATGTGACTTATTTTGAAGTAGAAAAGGAAGTAGAACTGGAGTGGTTTTGTTGCATTTATTAAAATATTTTTGGTACAAAAAAAAAAGACCATGAGCCAAGATAGTATCTACTTCAAGGTTCTCTTTCTGTGCCAAAGGGCTGTTTCACTTTTTTATAACTCCTTTTTTTTTTTTTTGCCTACATTTATTTCAAAATAAAAGCCCAAACTGAATCATTCACTAAATGTAGATTGCACATAATGCAGCTTGGGATTCATTCCATTTATTTCTGAAAAGGTGGGTTTTTAAATAATCCCATCAGTTCCTAATTATTTTTTTCTAATTTTATACCAATTCCAATAAATTCTACTTTTAAAAGGTCATTTTGGTGCAATCAGATATAATCTTTCATATGGAGGACATTCAAAGTTGCCTGCTACTAACCCTTTAGGGAAGAAAACACTAAGATTAAATATTTATATATATATATATATATATATATATATATATATATATATATATATATATATATATATAATTTTTGTTTTACTCTCTCAGAATTGTTTCTAACAGGAAATATCTTCTCTTAGCCAAATGTTTATTCCCTGAGTCTTAAAAGAAGGCATACTGGGTGGGTATCTGTTTATTTAAAGCATTAAGATCTAATCTAGGGCTGAGGAAAAAAAACTGTGACCTACTAAACTTAATTTAGGAGGAGCTCCAACTTCTTTCTGTTTACTTTTCAATAACCTGAACGGTAAGATTGCGTGCTTAAAAATAACCAAACAGGATCAAATTAGTATGAAGGCAGGTCCCCTGAGGGGCGCATGCTTCAGCTGAGGGACACATGGAGAACAAAATGTACAGAATTTGTGAAAACAACAACCAGAAAAACCACGCCTTAAAAGTAACCTGGCATCCTCTAAGAAGAATAGAAAAATCTGATTTTTTTAAGCTGAATTAAAATATTTTTCCTAATTATTTCTCCTGAGAGGTTTATTATTGCCAGTGAAAGTTGTTTGCGGAGAGTGGAGTGGGCGCGGTGCGTTCGCGGCTCAGGTTTCCAATGCAGTTTCCCCGCTTCCAGAAAGAACGGAGGAAAAAATGAACAACTATCATTCAATACAACTAAAATTTAAAGCATGAATTTTCAGTTTTTTGGGTTTTTTTTTTACTAGTAGAAACGCTAAATAAATCCAGTGAGAAGCGCTGGTGTGAAGGTGAAGGCTCGCGCTACGTTCAGTGACGCAGTTAGATTCAGAGGATGTGGGTTAATGAGATGCGACACACAAACACCCACACATCAAAATCAACTTTTCTGCAATAACACACATAAATTCCTCTCATGAAATAAATGTGGACACATTTTAAATCGAAAATTAACATAAAAAAGTATTTTTTTTAAAAGTCGATATTAGAATTTTAACGAACCTTGTGCGCAAAAAAAAAAGGAAAAACTGAACAAAATTAACTTACCATCAGCGTAAATATCTTAATATGAATCACGGAAAAGAATAACTGAATTCAAAAATCCAGTGGATATAAACACCGACACGCTGTCAGCCCACGGAGAGGTACTCACAACCCTCTTATCTGCGTGACCTGTTTGTTGTGGAGACAGGGGACGTCCTAAGCCAAGCAGATGTGTCACGTGGTTTCCGTCAAAACAGTCACTCTACATTCCCATCGCCAGTAAACGCAGCGCGCGCTCCGCTCGCAAATTTCAGTTAGCGCACCAAAAACTTTGCGTGCATTTTACCTTTGGCCAATTTTATCACCTTAGAGTAAGAAGAAAATGTCCTCCAGCTTCCCTCCAAACCTCCTGCTTGTTCTGCTCCTCTTCTCCTCCTCCTTTCTCTCCGACTGGACGAAACTAGGTCAAATATTTTGGCAACCGCCGCCATTTCCCTACTTCCTCAAATGTGACACACATTCCCGTGCATGCCCTTTGCGTCACGTTTGATTTTGGCACCTCGCCCGTAGCCTCAGTCACGTTGAGCTGCAACGTGAGTGGGAAGACTGTGTCCTGCTGGAGCACCGCCACATCCAGCAGCAGTGGGAAACTATTTTAGTTTTCCCGCGAAAAAGAAAAGTGGCACTGAAGCGGCCTTCACCCAGGCTTCAGCTGACCTACTAACCTAACCTCAATGTAAAATCACTGAAAATCTCAATTTTTATAGTGTTTTCATCCCTCTTGGATTTAAAACCTGCAAAGTGTCACAGCTTTGCACATTTGCAGACAAAAATATTTGCCAACTCCTAATTGAGAAAAATAAAAAATGTTCTCAAATTACATGAAGAGCAATTTTTAAGGCTTGCAACAGGACTTTGAGCACTGTACAGACAGGTGGTTGCACAAGGCAGCATGAGAAGGGGTCAAATTGCACCATGCACCTGAGAAAATGTGTTTTGAGCTAAATTAATTTTGCTTTTTTATTTCAAGTCTTTGATTTGTGCTGCATCTTTAAATAAAATTAATCCGTATACATTTTATTCCACTGCAGAGTTTCAGGCATCCCCATAGTCGATCCTGGAGGGCTGCTGTCCTGCAGGTTTTAGAAGTTTCCTTGCTCCAGCACAGCTGATTTACATTGATAGTTGATTAACAGGCTTTTGCTGAACTGCAATCATCAGAATAAGCTGTGCTAAAGCAGAGAAACCTCTAAAACCTGCAGGACAGCGGCCCTTGAGGACCGACTTTATAGATGCCTGGTTTAGATCATTTTGGTTGAGGGGGTTTGCAGAGATAAAGTTCCTATAAGAACCATACCTTAATGAGCCATTCTGACACTCAGGCGTCCAATATATTAATCTTTATTACTCAAGTAGAAGTAGAAATCCTGCTGTTTAAAAACACTTTTGTAGAAGTTAGAGTATCAACTTAAGTAATGCAGGAAAAAACGTTAAGGACAGATACTTTACTGCACTCACTTATGAAAGGAACATCTTTCTACAATTCTGGATGATAACTTCCTTATACTTTATTTTCTTAGTTTTATAACTCATGGCAACAGTGCAAATGTAACTTTGCATCATCTTGTAAAACTATATTTAATACCGAGTCCAACCACAAAGAAATTGTTTGGATAAAGCAAATTATTTTGATGTTTTTTTTTTTTTTTATACCAACAGCCCATAACAAGAACGAGGTTTAATGAAAGAAAACTTATGAGTCTATTTTCAAAATGCGAGGAAAACAGTAGAGATAATTGCAAAAACGAAATGTAAGTAGAAGTAAAAAGTTATCTAAAGAATAATTACTCCAAAATTTTGACTTAAGTAAGGTATTAAAGTATTTGTACTTTGTTACTTGACACCTTACTATCCATGGCAACTTCAGCTACTGTATAGAGTCATTTTCCTGTAGGGAGATTAATCTTCTTTCCAGTTTTAAGATTTTTCAACCTCTATAAAGTTGTTTTCTTTTTTCTTTTTTTTTTTTTTTTAAGGATTGCCTTATATTTAGCTTTATTTTAGTCGTGTTAAAGAAAACCATCTGTGCTTTAAGCAGCTAAGTTTGTCAGGATAAAAATATCTACCGTAATTAAAAGTGCAAGGCATAAGTTTTGGATTTTAATACAAACCAACCTTTACATAATTTCCCCCCCACTTCCCAACAATGTTCTTTTTCTCTGTCAAGTAAAACCTCAATGAATTATTTGATTAAAGTTTCTGACTGAAAAAAGTGTGTTGGAAAAAATAACCTGTTAAAAGGGAAATAATACTCTTGTGAAGATTCACACCTTATGGTGAAAAAGCAGTGAACTACACACACTGCTAAAGTAATAGAAATCTACAATCAAACACAAGCTATGATAAAAACACCTGAAACTATTTATGCTTTATGTTTTTTAAGCCAAGATATTTTATAGCAACAGTCACACATTAACAGCCTGCTATTATTCTCATAGCCATTTTCTATATCTTAAATCCAAGTAAACCTGCCTTCTAATGGTTTTTATTTTTGGGGTATCAGAGTAAAGGGTAAGGATTTTTTTACCTAAATTGAATAAATCTGATTGTGTCCCTTCTTGCACTTATTGCATTAGTGGTGTACCCTCTGAGAGGCCCGCTCTGCAGCCAACGCCCCTCGCTCAGAGGCGCTGCTCCAAGTTTTACTTCTACATTTTTTTTAAAATGGTCGACTCTTTTCACACAGGTCTGCAGATCCAACAAGCCGTGTTACTCTTGTGAAACTTTGTTCATGTTCAGCGACGTCAAACAATGAAAGTCTTGTGCTCCTTGGTTTAATCCCCCATGAGAACGTGGTTTAGTATTCAGTTTTTAGGTCTCTCTCATGAAAACAGGTGACGTGTGACCCTTCCTCCTAATGCTCCATAAATCTGTGTGTGTAGGAGGCTAATGGGGACGTTGTGAGCTGTATTTACAGTCAGCTTGTTGTTCCACATTAAATGCCTAATCCCTAATCCCCCCCACCCCACCATCGTTAGTCTTATGCTACATGTTACATGTGGCCACGCAGTCATAAAGCCCATTGTTTTACCCCCCTTTGAATACATTAGCACGGCTGAAAACAACAGTCACACAGCGCAATGTGACTCAGCCTCTAAACACTGGGAACTGTCATGGTGGGTCTTGTGTTTCCCACATTCCTTCTTTTCAATAAAGACAAAGGATACAGCGGAGGCTCTGTTTTAAAGTCATTATCCTACACCTACAGCCCCCCAAAGGCTTAGACATCCCTGTTTAGTCGACAGGCCAACGAAGGAGATCTTTAATCGGGTAACTCTGGAAAGGATGCGCAGTTCTTGTGCCAGAATATCTGGCCTTTTGTGCAAAGGGGAGAAGAAGAAAGCGGGGTTATGTTTTTAGTTGGGCTGAAGCCATAAAAGACTAGAGAAACACATGGAAGTAGGTGCTTTGAGCAAATTAGACCAGAATTAAACATGTATGATTGGGAAAAGTGAGATGGCATTCCAAGTGTTAAACATAGAGGTGGCAGCATTATGCTGTGGGATCTCTTTTAGCTGGAAAAGGGAAGTCGTGTGTGAAAAATGATAGGAAGAATTTGCATTTGCATTGAAGTTCCCAATCCTTTCTAACTCGTCTGCATCAACATCAATTTGTGTTTTTGCCAAACAGCTGCTTGCAACTCAAAGTTCATCCCCCAACCACAACTATTTGGTGCCGAAGGATGTTGAACGAAACCTCAGGAAGATGCCTTACACGTACTGTGAGTCAGTTTCCTCTCTGCAGGAAGTGGAAGAAGAAGAAGAAGAGAAAAGGATGGCGGGAGAGAGCAGGTTTTTGGTTCACAGGTGCAGCGTGGGGGTTTCCACGTCCCTCTGTCCTTCAGCTGCGGAAGTGAGCGCTGCAGAGAGTCTCACCGCAAGACGCTAGCTTGTTTACGTCAACTCCCAATTTCCTAACACGCCACAACAAAACGCAAACAATGCAAAGAGGTGTAAAAAACGACATACCAACGACGGGATAGGGTTGTTAGAGATGAAGAGAGAAAAACAGTATATGTAGAAGGATTAGGATGACTTAAAACAGATTAATTAAAAGATGCACAACCTGGAATTTCTTGATACATTTCCTCCAGGAGGCTTCTTCATGTAAAGCTGGATTGTTTTTTTGTTTTTTTTTATATATTCAGTAAATCATACTGCTGCCACACGTCTACCCACTTATTATTTATCTAAACCACAATGGGAGGTTGTTTTTATTAAATAAACTGTTTTTTTTGCTTTTTTTATGTCATACCACAGCATCTAAGTTATATTTAATGCCAAATTCGGAGTGGGTTAATCATTTTGGACTAGTATGTTACATTTTTTTTTTTTTTTTCATCTAAAATCCTTTACTAGTTTAACTCCAAATGTAACATGACACACCTCTTCAACAGACCTCAGTATGATTCACCCCTGAAGTCTGGAGAATCAGCATTATATTTTGATTTTTATTCGCAGAAAAGAAAGTTTCTGTTCTTGTTTAGTCAGTTCTGTTTTTGTCCCTTGGAGGCCTCCGTCTGATGCTTTTTTCCAGGTTTCTTTCATGGGGTCTGCAGTACTTTAGATCTTGTTCTTGCTTCTTTTAGAACTTCCTGGACGAGCTATTAATTCTTTTTCCAGGAGGCTGAACTCTTCCATGTGTTTATGGACAATGGCTGATATTGTGGTTCCAACGCTGCAATACTCTGCGCCTCGAAGGCTTAAAAAATGGCTTGGTCACCCTTTCCAGACTGATGGATGGAAATATGTTGAAATCTGTCTTTGAACTTCTTTAGACCATGATGTAATGCATTTTGACATTTTTAGTGTACTTCACAGTTTTTACTTGACTTAGTTTTCGGTTTAGCAGTACTTAGGCCTGGATGTGGGCTAATCAAACCGAAAAAGTGAGCTTTATCAAAGGTATTTGTCTAAAGAAATGGATTTCTTTTTTGTCTTTCATGTTAATTGAATTATCATCTACAAACTGTATGATATAATGATTTTTTTATGGTGCAAAAGGCTTATGAATACATATTTCACACAATATTCAAAAGGTCTTGCTAGCTCAAAAGTTTCTCTAGCAAAGAAAAAAAAAATGGTGGTCTGATTTTTCTTCCTGTACGTGTTCGTTAGTCTCTTATTTGCATTTGTTCATCTCAATTTTGAGCTTAAAGGACCTTTTGGATTTGCTGTGAAATTATGCGTTTGCATTTCTCAGACACCATACTTTTTGTGTGAATCTAAAATCTACCCAAGACTCTGATGCATTGTTTAACATATAAAATTGAAACAATTTTGCTAATATTTTCTGCGCTTAAAGATCTACATCATGTAGATTTGACTGCTTAAATAAATTCCACAACAAAGGAGTTAATCAGTAATAGATGGAAAATCTCATCTAACATTTTGCATTTTGATCTTTTATCACAATCAAATGTATAGCAGACATTTCAACTAGAGCAATAATCAGTCAAATTATTTAGGAATATAAACATTTTGAAATGGAAAATTCATTAAAACAAGATCATCAACAAAAGCAACACTTCCACCTTTTTCCAGGCTGTTTATTTTAATACACTTTTACTCTATTCTTGTGTCAAAAACATGGATTGCAGCTGTTGCTTGCATTGAAGTTAAACAATTAGGTATATTTTTGTTGATAAATGTTTAATCTATTCTTTAGGACATGGAAATCAGGGCTACTCTGTTTTCTCTTGCCTTACATGTTAAGGGTTCATTGCATTGAGGAGGTGCTAATCATGTAGCACATAAAGCCTCTCCTGTTGTTGATAAGTATCTGGCCATCTGAAATATTGTTTTTGCAGAGTGAGAATGAGGAGAAGAAGGAGGGGCGAGCTGGTAGAGGAGGAGGAGGCTGAGGGGCGGGGCCAGCTGGGTGTTAATCGAGCCTTTGTTTTTCTCTCTCTGTATGTTCCTTACAAGGTTTTCTCCTGGTTTTGCTGAAGCGTCTCTCAGATGAGTTTATACAACTTGAAGGGGAAACAGCTGCACTTCAAAATGAGAAAATATGACAGCATTAAACAGAAAAAAAAAATGCAAAATACTTATTCAGTTCCTTTTGGATGTTTCCTCTGCCTTAATGTGGATTTTCATCCAAAACAGATGCATACGTATTGCAACAACTGACCCCACTCATTCTAGGTTGTCTGTTTTTACTCTGCACAGCTGAGGTGGAAAGGTGGCCCGCTCCAGCTGATATGTGTGGCTTCTCTGCCCTTTACCTACATCTGGGCAACATCTGTAGATAAAAGCCAACATCTGGGTTTACATGTTCTATTGAGTGGTGCTCAGTATTGCAAAAGAGAGGCAAAAAAATAAAAGGAGGTGCAGGGGGAGCCTATCTGTCTTTCGACTTCTCTTCCCTCTTCTCCTGGGTGTGATCAGGTTACCTGCACTACAACCAGTGAACTTTATGGTGTTGTTTTGTAAAGGCTGTCTGCACAGCTGGATAAAGCAATAAATCAGATTCGCTTAACGCTTCATTTTCTATTATCACCGGTGCATCCCTCACTGATCAAGATTTCTGATTGAATTTAAAAACATGGCAGACCAGATCCAGTTGAAGGAGGTGGTCTGCCATATTTTTTTTTTGGTTTAGTAACTGATGGTCTTGGTTGCATTTTATTCAAGTTTGCAGCATTGAATCTGTTAGATATGGAGGGCTGGGGATTTCTTACACAAAGCAGAAGAGATTTTGAATGTTTTGTGAGGTTAATATGATTTACATGCAGGTTTTATTAAAGCCAGGTGCTACACATGATAGGTTACTTGGAGAAAATGGTGGTTTTACTCTTAAACGCAGCATGCACTTTACTTAAAAAGGGGCATCCACTGTATTTATGCTGTATGCAACAAATAGAAATTATAGCAAAAGAATACATGTTTAACACGGTCCTGGTTTAATGCAACAAAGAAAAACAGACCTCATAATTACACCTGTTGTATTGTGGAACACTAACAGCTTGTTTTATGTGCAGAAATATGTTAAATGTGGCGTGTTTATGTCAAGGCTCAGAACTGGAAGATTCGAGGCGAACAAACAGATTTCTCAGAGCATTTATTGAAAACAGAAGGTTGGACCTCTGCGAGTGGAGACAGCAGGTTAGTGACCACGTCCTTCCGGAAGTGAGTCACTAACCCGGTCTTATAGTTCAGTCTGAGACCAGAGGTAAAGGATGGTTCTGGCCGGCGGGCTGTCAATATGGTTGCGCACAGTGAGTCCCAGACGCTGATGAATCGGAGGTCGGAAGACAGGCAGGGGATCACAACCAGGCAGACGGTTGTCAGAGCCAGGAGGTCAGAGATCCGGTGAGGCACAGAAGAATCCAAGACGGAGTCAGGTAAAAGTTCCAGGTACTGGATGTGTAAACCCTTAGATCACCCCTTTCACTGTCATAGTTTAACACTGTTTAACATAACTGAAGGGCAAGAAGTTAGGCTGCTGCTAAAATACATCTTAAAGAAGAGAAAAGTTTAACAGTTAGACCAGATTAAAGTGAAACTGTGTGGTTAGGATGATGACGCTTGCTTAGAGGACTCCAGTTAATAATCATGTGAGTCTGCCATCAGTACCAATGCATCGGAAACACACCTAGAATCCTCTTATCTTTGATAGAGTTTAAATACTTAAGCACAATCTTAACATTAATGCATCTACAGAGTTGATTTTTCTTCCTGCAATTGTAGTGAGATTGCATCATTTTGAGCTCCTGACCTGCAAAAATAAATATAAACCATCTAATTTCTCTGCAACATTCACTGGAAAACAGACAATGCATGTAGGTAGCCTTAAATATATGCATGTTTTATAGAGTAGATAAACTCCATGTTTGCTTCTTTTATTTCTCCAATATTTTATATTTGCAGAATTAAGTTAGATCCTGTCTTTAATTACAGACATCATGTAGTGTGTAGAATTTCCATCTGCACATCAGCTCGGTGTTGTCCTTATGTGTGACAAATATGATCTCCGATTCCTCGTGTCAATGCTCTGGAACAGTAACCATGGAGCGGCCTGAGCGGCAAAATCTGCGTCCACGTGTCCTCTGTGTTTCAGAGCCGTTATAAGAAAGCATGTGTATTAGTTGTGTGATAAAGCGTAGAAGAGTAACGCAGGAAGAAGCGGGAGGCCCAGTCTTACCCACAAAGTTGTAGAAGTGACTAAAAGTCTCAGGGTAAAAAAAAAAAAAACCCATCTCATTTTAGTGTGTGTGTAACCATCCCCCCACTGATGTGCTTTCAGATTACTATTACTGAGTAAAACAGTGTCAGTATTTTCACAGTTTATGTGATATTTAGGTAACTTCCTCTTTATGGGGGGCCCTGCATGGTCGCATGCATGCTGCAGTTCTGCAACAACAGGAGCATCCAGAATTAAATGTTGGTTCATATCAAATTTATGTTTTGCAAAAATATTTATTAATTATTTCACTGACCTCTGGTTGCTCCTTAAAACGTCTTAAAGAGCAACATTTCGGACACAGCAATCTGTTGTAGATGAAACAATGAGCACATGGAGCTGTATGTGGTGATTAGGAGGGAATCACACGTCTCATGATGAAACATCGGTCATGGTTCCATCCTCACCCTGCAGGGTTTACCGTATATCTGGGATGCTGACACAGAGCACAACTATTTGTCTTGTCCTGATATTAGGGAGTTCTGTAGGGTAACTGGGTTCCTCTTTTGAGCTAAAGCTTTCCCATGCAAACACAAGGGGGATGAATTCTGTCACCTTATAACCAGAGACCTCATTGCAGTTTATTGGGATTTTATGAGATATATCAACACAAAAATGCTTTATTATAAAGCAGCAGAAAAACAATTTGTTTCATTTTTAAGAAAGTTTTAATATATTTTTAATGCTTATACCTCAAACAACTTCCCTTTAAAGTATGTTAATAAACATCTCGATTCCACCTAAACTGGGATTAAATTGGACATTAATGGACCAAAAACTACTCATAGGCTAGCATCTGAATTAAAGGGATTTTGCTGGATTTTATATTTGTTTTCTAACACTAAATGAACACTCAACCTTCCTGGCTCACGAGGGTGGTAGTGTCATGCTGCGGGGATCCATTTCCACAACAGGGAGGGAGAAATAGTCAGAAATTTTGCAAGGACAGGTAAAGCTAAATTTAAGAGAAAACATGTTCCAGTGGGACATTGACTGTTTAGGGCCAGAGACACAATCAAATGTTTTAGAACATGAGTTAGAACGGCAGAGTTAAAGCCTAAATCTAAATTTGACTCAAATTCTGCGGTTGAGACTAAAAAATGCTTTTTACAGATGCTCCTGATTCAGTCTTAAGTCAATTTAATTCAGTTTAGTTCATATAGCTCCAATTAAGAAGAAATATCATCTCGTGTCACTTGACATGGACGATTCAATCCAATCCTGCAGTCCAACAGGTTATAACTTTTCTTTCTAAGGATATCCTGCTGATTGCTGCCAGTGACTGACTTGGCAGGGTTCACTCTTCCTGAATTAAGATGTTGAGACATTAGATATTCACTTGTGTTGTGTCTTTGCCTCCTCGTTAGCCCCCCAGGACGATCATGGTTGTAGAAACAGTTGAGTGGAACAGAACAAAACCTTCAGTAGAACCAGACTCAGTGTGAGTGGCCTTCTCCCAAGGCACAGGAGACAGAAACAGACTTAAGAAAGGAACATAGAAGCACTGATCCATAAAGGAGACAATAAACTAGCTCCACATGTGGCTCTGTCTAGGAAAGAAATATAAACAGATGAGCTCTGAGTTAGTGACCATGTCAAAAAGGATGAGAGACAGCGCATAGAGTTTGTCACAGCCAAAGGTAAGCCCAAAGCTATGTGTAGGACAGAAACCAGGACTAAGAACTGAAAAACAGGGCTAACCCTATCATCTATAATGAAATGTGTTTATGGCAGCAGCGCACAATTGCACTGCAAAAACAATCCAGAAATAAGTAAAAAATGGCTTAAATTAAGTATATTTAGCCTTAATTTGAGCAGGTAAATAAGATGATTTGCCAATGGAATGAGTATTTTCACTCTTAAAATAAGATAGTTAGATAATATTTACTTGAAATAAGACGATAAAATAGTTTTTTCTTATTTTAAAAGGAAATTGTCTTGTTCCATTGGCAAAGTGTCTTACTTACCTCCTCAAATCAAGAAAAAACACACTTATTTTAAGAAAAAATAACTTATTGAGATTTATATTTTTTGCAGTGATTATAGGATTGTAAGATAGAGACAGATTGTGGCCATGTCCTCCAGCAGTCTAAGCCTATAGCAGCATAAATATAGAGGTAGCTCAGGATAACCTTATCCACTCTAACTATAAGCTTTATCAAAAAGGAAAGTTTTGATAAACTTATACAGTATCTGTCTCATGGACTAAAACTGGTAGTTGGTTTCACAGGAAAGGTGTCTGATAATTACAGATCTACCTCCAATTCTACTTTTAGAAATTATATGAACCACTAGTAAACCTGCAGATTGAAAGTGAAATGTGCTGTTAGGAACATAAGGAACAAGCAGATCTCTGATATGAGATGGAGCCTGGTATTTTAGGGCTTTATATGTAAGAATAACAGTAAGAATGTGTAACTATATGCTTTAATTTCTCATAAACTAAGCAATAGTAATAAACACACAAACTGCAATAGTTGTAATGTAAGGGACTGTGTGCTGCATGCACGAAGTTAATTACTCTCAAACTACCTTTTTAAGCAAAGTCATAAACATTTCCAGTCTTGTACATTTTTATTTCTACTAAAAAGGTTTAAAAAAAAAAACAGCCAAGAAAGTCAGTAAGATTCTCACTGCATAGCACCACCTGGTGTTTTTTTCAGAGGTTATAACTCTAAATAAATGCCTCCAACAAGCAAATGTGCGGATCCAGCTCCCCCCTCTGGTAGAAAATTAAAAGTGGAGCTTTTAATTACTCAAAATGTTCTTACTAAAGAAGGTAGAGAAAAGTAAGGGTAGACGCAGTAAACAGTGGGATCCATCGGCCTGCAACTACCATAGCAAAAAGGGAGGTGCAGAAACATGTTTGTACTTTCAGTAGAAACTGGCTGAACTGCCCCTATTATATAATCAGAGATGAAATATACTGGAGGTAAAGTTTGCCTCTTAAAGAACATAAATAGAGCTCTATGTGAACATTCTATAAATTAAACTGGTTTTCAGAGAAGAGCTTCAATTGCCAGTGATTAGACTAAATGGCCGATGCTTAGTGCAGATATCTTTAATGTTTTAATCCTCACTTAAATGTTCAACATGTATGATTACAGTGGTTGAATATAACTGTCTGTTTAAAGGAATTAAAGGAAAATAAACAGTGAAAACATACCCAGAATGCTATAGCTGTAATCTCAACCACTGCAGGGTGTGGTGCATGAAAATCTGCAGCTATTTAACAAGCCCATCAAACCCAACATGAACCAAAAACCTGTCAACCTGACAGCTACACAGATGGCTGCAGGAAACATGTCAGGACAGAAGGCATAGAAGAAGAAAACAGTTACATCTGCCGTGTTTTTGCTTCAGCAGAAGTACTGATTTTTCTTACACAATACTTCAAGGAGAAGAAAGTTCTGCCTGTCCTCAGGTGTGGAGATGTGATTAAACTCCAGGGGTAATACTGGGCTGTTTCACTTTTTATGTTTCTTGCTTTTTAAACTCTCGTGTTTTCCGTTTCAGTCGCAGCGGTGCTCTCCACCCTGTTGATGAACCAGTCATGGCAGTGACATGAGGAATTTTTCATTACCTCGCCCCGGGGCCACCATGGTGCCTCTGCCTGTGTGTCGTTCTGCTTTTTTTTTCCCACTCCTACCTCCCCTCTCTTTCTCTCTCTCTATCTCTAACAAACAAACACTCATTATTTCTCTGAAACAAGCTAGTGTAGAGCTGTGCTTCTTTATCTGCCGTGTAAGCTACCTGCATGGGGTAGCCCCTCAGCTGGTGACCTCCTCTCCATGGCCTGCCGTCTCTCCTCCTCAGGCTCCTACACTGTGGTCCTCCTCCCTCTAAAGACCAGCCTCTACAGCCAGGAGGCCCTTCGTTTCTACCTATGGGTGAGGTCTCGCTTCTGTATGTTGTCTTGGTGTATGTTTTATGGTCAGACATAACTAGATCACAATTTCCTTCCTCTAGAGTCCATAAAAGTGTCACAAGGTTGATGCATTTGGCTGCTATGCATTTGCTTGACCTTTTCTTGAAGCTTGGAATTTAGCACAGGTTATCTAACTGTAAAAGCAGGTGTCACATACGGCTACAACTCAGTTCCCCTTAAACTTCTATAGGATGCTGATTATGCAAAGGTTTACTCCTAACTAAAATTGCCTGGTTGTTAAATTCTGAAACAATTTTTTTCACTGCCCTTGCAGACTTTTAACTTATTTCAAAAAGAATTTACTGATCCCAAAAGGAGATTAAATATTCTCTAACTTATATTATAAGGGTTTTATTTTCGAGAGTTGCTAAAATGCTGACTGTAGGCAGAAATGATTTCCTATAGCAGTCAGTCTCACAGCAGATCTGGAGAAGTCTCTGACTGAAACGGTCAGTTATCGTTTTAGTGTCTGATAAAGATGATGCTGAGGGTTGTTCTAGAATCTAGATAACTTCCCCGAGCTCCTGAATAAAAAGTTTTTAATTACTGCTTGAATCGCAGAATCAAGGATCATCTGTCTGACAACATCTTTTAGGCTGAGATATCAAAAAGCAACACTTCATGCTCTAATTGGGCGAAATTCAAGAAAAGATTAGAGACATAAATAATAGAGCCACCTCTAAGGCTGCAGGACTCGGTTAAAGAAGGGGGAGAGCTACTAAAATGACTCAAAGAGAGAAAAACAATGAATCATCCAAGAAGTCATTTGTTTCGTTAAAGTCAGTGCTCATGATCTAAATAATAAAATTTGGGCAAGATGGGGTGAAAAACTTAATAGCTTTCTGTGTTTCTTTCGAGTCAAATTTCATTATGCTTGAAATGTCTCTTAAGATCTGTGGGAAAAACTTCAAAATGGTTTCTTTAGAAAACATAAATGATAAGCTCTGTTTTAAATCTCATTTACGTTTCTTACCTTATTACCTTATATAATTATATAAAGTAATACGGCTGCCATGCATTTCAACAGGGCGATAGCTGCAGAAATTAACTAGCTGTTTGTCTAGCCGTTTGCATAAAAACATTCATTGAAAGGTTTCCCAAAGTGTTGCTCAGAATTTATGGAGATGTGACCTTGATTGTTTCTTAAGACCCACAGTTGAATGTGAATACAATAAATAAATATTTTATTAAATTTAAAAAAAAGGAAATTTCGAATAAAATAGATAAAAGTACCACTGAATGTCTCCATAATAATCAATAATAAATAATTACATGTTAAATTTGTTTTTCTAGTGCTTTATTAAATAATCAAACGTATCATTGTATTAAGAAATGTATACATTAATTCAATTAAATTATTAAATATATCTTTAAAATTATGAAATTAAATAAGCAAATGTCATTATTTGGTAAAAAGAATAATTCTATTTCACTCTATATGTAAAATGTCTCTGGTAAAAATTAGGGAAACCCTACATTAAAATGGGCAGAACCTTGTTATGAATCCATTTTACTTTAGTGTTAAATGTTTACAGCAAAGTGATTCTCAATGCTTGTTTTACTAACAGCAGTTTTACTGTTCATAAAGTACAGTTTCTATTCATTATGGTTTGGTTGAAAAAGCTATTATTATTCCTGCAACCACATTTGTTCTCCACTGTTTTCGAGGATTTGATGATTAACCACTTTTGGCAATTTAATGTCAAGTTCAAAGCTGATTTGTGCCTCCTTGCCAGGAAGGCTTACTGTATTTTAGCTTCAATTTTTTTATTGTCTGCAGACCTCCGGCAGCATGTAGGCGTTCGGCTTCAAAAGGGTACAAGTTTAACTTGTTACAGAGCAGAACACAAGCTTAGACTCACCCAATTACTTTGGGAAGGTAAAGCTGGCTTTTCTGGCTGTAAACTAGTTTGAAAAACCTGATGGATGAAATATTGGACTCATTCCAAACAGGGATGGACTTTAGCAACTGCAGTAGCCTTGAGGGTTTAAAATATTTTGTGGGGAGGGGTTTAATATTTTCTTGGTTATATAAAGGATACATACATACTTTGCTTGAATAAATTCACTGCCAAAATTGTACTTTAAAGTTTTTCATCCATCAGAACCTAACCCATGCCTCAGAGGATGTCAGATTCATAGGGAGAGCATTTTTGGCTTCTGGACCTGTCAAACTGGTGGAAAATATTTCCTGGAAGGTCACATTTATAGGTGTGAGTAAGGCCTAAAAAACAATAATGTGCACATTATCAGTTATGATCCGCATTCAGATAAGAAATGAGCAGCTGGGCGCCAAAGTGATAAGTACATATTCAATAAGACTCATAAAAACCAAAAAGACAATGATTTTTCTTTTTTTTATGATTTTCATTTTTATCGAACTACACACTATAAACAGCATACAGTGTTGATCCATTGGAGTAAAACTCACTGCACTGGGATCGACAGTGAACTGTCCTTGACATGCCACATTGATTGGATGCTGTCCATAAACGCATCATCATGTTGGATCCATCTTGGCTGACCCGACCCATCCCTCTTACTGAAAGTGTTTCCTATTAATAATGACACAGAGTGTGTGTTCTTAGAGCACTTAACTCAGAATCCAGTCCTCAAGAGTTTAATGTCCTGCATTATGTTTTCTCCAGCACTGAATCACATGATAGCCGAATTTCATGCAGATAGATGAATGTTATTCATCCGTTTGATACTGGGGGATCTCAGAAGGTTTCTGGTCCTCTGATCACCAAACTGCAAACAATTAGAAAAATCAGCCCTGCTGGATAAACTGGATCCATTCTGCAAATGAGCAAAGACAAAAAAAAAAAATTAAACTTAGAATTACATAAACTTCAATGTGATCTTGTATACACAGATTTTATACAAAACAAACATGTTGATGCATACAGGTTTTTCACAGTGAATAAGCAGCTTAAAACAGTAAAATGAACATTACCATTTATAAATCAGAATGTAAACAGTGTAGGAAAAAATGAAAACCAGTTTAAAGGAGTTTTATGGAGACGCTCAGTACAGTACAGAGTAAATAAATATGGTGCAAAATACAGTAGAACACTGAGTTGTTCTATTTGAAAGGATTCTGAAAAAATCAGCCACGTTGGTGGTGCAAATATGATGTATTCAAGTGTGATGCAGAGTATTGATTAGATTTTTAACAGTTGAACAGTCTGATGGCAGCGAGGGAAAAACTGTTGCAGAACCTGTTGGCCCTGCAGCAGATGCTGCAAAGCCTCTTCCCAGAGGGCAGCAGGGTGAACAGTCCATGGTGGGGGTTTGAGGGGTGTTACGGGCTCGAGAGACACAGCCCTGGGATGAAATGTTTTTATTCATTGACAAACAGATGGAACAAAGATCCTAATAATAAACTGCACTTCAATGGCCTGCATGTAATTCGTAATGGCATAGTCAATTATTTTTACTATCTATGGGGGGAACAAAAGGCTAAAGCTAAAGCTAACTTCATGATCAGGGGAATTTTACTTACAGCTGATCAGAGTGTGACATGCAGCATCAATGTATTAAAAAAAGTTTGTTTTTATGCATCTTTAATTCTACACAATAACGCAGGTGTGTCACACACAACTGATACACAAGGTCAAATATTGTATTCCTGTTCCAGGACTTTATGTGCTTTAAATTTCCACCTTTAGATTTGAGTCCTGTTCTAACACAGATTTTCTGATAAGTCCTGTAAATGTGGCAGATGTGGATGATTCATCAAGCTCATTTCATTTTCCTGCTGTCATTGTTTCCATCTTGGCTAAATTTGATCCCAGTGATTAATCTCCACATGTAAACTTCCTTGTTTAGAGCTCTGTACAGTTTCGCAAAAACCCACTTTAAATAATCAGATGTGCTTCCATCGTTACTTGTGATTTCCTCGTGTTTTCCTTGTTTTCTACTAAGTCATCATCTTTTTTTTTGTTGTTAACCCTGATGTTTTGCCCCAAACAATACCACAGGTCAATTGGAAACAAGAAGAGCTGTGCTGTTCAATAAGTATTTCTCCTGATCGACTTTCAGATGTTTGATCGACCTGAAATTTTGCATGTGTATTTAATTAAATCTCTACAGATTAAATAGCAAATTGAAGCTCTTAACTAATTATGGTTTCTGATTTACATGTGTTCAAACTGAGTCAAGTCTGTGTTTTTGCATTTGAAAAAACACAACGGGTGACTTTTGATCAAATGAAAGTAACTTATAGTGATAATGTCCCATAATATAACCTTGTAAAACATTTTGCAAGGTCATATAACGGGCATCATCACCATAAGTTACTTTAATTTCACCAAAAGTCTCCTGTGGTGTGAGTCCTTTCAAATAGAAAAACCGGATCACTGCTCGACACTCAACAGGCTTTTTTTCAGACTTTACTCAGTTCAAACACCTGTAAGTCAGAAACCACAAATAGTTCAGAGCTGTAATTTGCTACTTAATCTTTAGAGATTTAAATAACCTCACATGCAACATTTCAGCTGGATCAAACATCTAGAAGTGTGTCAGGGGCATTACTTATTGAATGCCCCTCGTATAGTAGTAAACCTGTTGTCTAAAGGAAGAGTGATTACATTAGGATTTTGTTTTCTTTGTAGATTAAGCGGATGAAGGACCTAGAGAAGGAGAAGGATGCTCTGTGGTCAGGTCTGGAGGTTCTGGAGCACGGTCGGCTGTGGTACCTCCAGCGGCTCTCAGAGAACAGGGCCCTGCAGTGTGTTGAGAGCAGAAATAGGATGCGCCTTTGCCACAAACATGCCTCAGAGGTAAACCGGGATGTGTGGATTCTCACTACTAATAAACCACGCTGTAAATGCCAGCTTTTAAAGTATGTTTTTGTTTTTGGTGAAGGTTTTAGCACAAACTGCAGTGGTTTAGAAGAAAAAGTTGCAGACTGTTTTATTTTTGGGGTTGTTTTAAAGCCTTTAGTCTGCAAAGTTAGTCAATCTTCCCCAAAGCTACCACTAATAGTTTAATGCCTGCAAGATTTATTGTATTATTATGCTCTCTCAGTGTTTCAGAGCACATTAACAATGGTGTTTTTTGTTGTTGTTGTTGTTTAGGCTCCATCCTGCCTCCCCACACACATCCAGCGGGTTAATGGAGCCCTGGGCTCTGTAATGAGTGAACCCAATGTCAGCAGCAACCCTTGTCTCTCTGATCCGCTGGCAGACAGTGACCTCCGCTGGCAAAACACAGTACTAACTCAGGTAAAGATACAGCCAATTAAGATTCAATCTCAATCCTTAAATCCTTCCCACAATTCAAATCAATTCTCTTGCAGAAGGTGAGTGAAAAGAATCGTCGGATCTCTTTGTTGGAGCTGGAAAAACAGGTTCTCCTTGAAGAGCTGGGGGATCTCCAAGCCTGCTGATCTGCACACTGTCACTTCCCACATTGGTTATATATTTATGTTTAAATTAATAAATTACTATTAATGTTTCCTTATTTTACCCTGTGCTCTTTTAAATTATTTGTATTTATTATGATCAAGTAGATTTCTCACCCTTATATTCACCCCAAGGTCAGACTGTCATGGTTTCCTTTCCTTTTTGGAAGATATTTCTGTATTTGTTTAATAAGTTTTAATTTTTTAGTTATTCTGTGTCTCTATAATTAGATTACTTTAATCCTGTGTGTTACTTAGCCTTTCCTCCCACTCAGCTAGTATTCACTGTGTGATTCTGCTCACCTGGCGTTATGATACTCATCACTTCACCGCAGTATTCAAGTCTCTAATATCTTCCTTTCTCTGCTGGAATCTACTGTTGCCCCAGTTCTTGTATGTTTCCCTCTTATTCTGTGAATTTATTGCCATGCAGATCATAGCAAAATCACTAAAACCACAGACTGCATATTTATTAGTCAGCATGATAAATCTTAAAATGAATAAAAAAGAGTTGCCTGGATACAGACGCTGCACCCTAACAGAGGTGGGTAGAGTACTCAAAACTGTACTCAAGTAAGAGTTTAGTTAATTCAACATATTTTTACTCAAGTAAAGTAAAAGCTAGCCATTCAAGAAACAACTCAAGTCAGAGTAAAAAAAAAACAAGAGTAAAAAAAGTCTTTACCGACAGTATGTTATGTTTAGGTTAGAATAGGGTGACTTCCTGTAACATACTTTAAACCAATTGCTGGTCCAAATTACATTGCAGATTCTGCAAACTGAAAATAAATTAAAAGCATGAAGCTATAGTAGGAAAGAGAAGTCTCAAATAAGCTGTAGGTATGTGTCTCAATGTTGCATTTTGTTCAAAACAAGCTTGTTCTTTATTGGGTGAAGTTACTGATGATTTGTAGAGTAGCCAGACCTTTTACTCAAGTGAGAGCAATAGTACTTCATAATGATTTTATTTAAGGAAAGTTAAGAAAAAAATATGCACAAAAACTATTCCTTAAAGTTCTTGTTTATCTGCAAAACACTTACACAATTATTTACTCAATGTTTTAATTGGATAAGTGTAGCTAGTTAATCTTCTCTGTTCTCTAAAACAACCATGGCAGCGTGAATTTGGTTTGCAATCATCAAGAAAAACTGTAAAAGTGTGACAATTCAGGCCTCAGAACCTGATCACCTTGCATTAAAAAACATCTAAATGAATCAAACCATACAGGAGCGAAATCTGAAGCCATATGGAACTTGACTTAAACCCAATGAAACAATTTGCAAGTGAAACTTTTTCTTTGGCAATTTGCAGGACTGACAAAGTCACTCAGTAAATCCTAATTTTAAGTTACTGCTTCAGGAGGCTTTGGAATAGTAGTTGTAGTTTTTAACAAAAGGTCTAAGTTGGCTCCGTCTGTGTAGAGCTTTAAAAATGTGTAATCTGCATCACCCATCGTATTTCTTGCGCCAAAATATTTTAACTTGTACTTGGAGATTATGATTTTACCACAACTATATACTTTTTTACATGTTTAATTCTGTGAAACATCAAATTACCTTCTTTGCAGATGATATTGTCATTTTTACATTTTACTTTTTTTAAGTACAAAATATAGCCAAAGTTAGATACTTTTTTCTTTTTTTTCAATTGAGTTGTATCAGTGTTTTTCTGATGCGTGAAGAAGACAATCCTGCATCATTGTGCGTCCCGGTTCCTGTTTCCGTTCTCGCATAAGGGCTCCCTGTCAGAGCACGCTGCAGGAACCTCTCCTGGTGGTCCCCCACTGATCTTACTCACACTGATAAACCTTATCACATGCAGTCATCTTTACCGTTTGCAGGAAATATCTGTCGTGCACAGCATAACTGTAGCCTTGTGCACACAGGAAAGCTACCTTTAGACAGATGGTGATGTCTGATTTGTCTGTTTTCCCCTTTTGACAGTTCCATTAACAGACTGGACTTTTTTTTTTGTTTATCCAACCCCTTTTTTTTTTTTTTTCAAATTCTCCTCTTCATACTCTGTCCCTGAGTGTTTGTTTACACCAGGGCCCATGGTGGCCCTCTGTCCCTGCCTCTCTATAGAATATGTTCTCAGATTATCAGAGCTTCACCCTGCTTGTGAAATTAAAGGGAAATAAAGACCTTTGCTTATACTTTTTTTGTTCAAACTTGAAGACATAAATTGGAACTAAATCCAAATATTTCTGCTCAAACATTGCGATTGAAAAGCCAATAAAAGAGAAACGCCTCCTGTAAGGAATCGGGGCAGGAACCTGATTAGAATCACCTTTTTGCACATCCGGAAAGAAAACATCCATTACGATAGAGGCTTTCCTCTAAGTAGCTTCATGTTTTACATCTGCGCCACTGAACCATCAAGCCCAGGGCTACCAGCACTCAGCTAATTATTGGGCCTAATTCGTACCAAACACCTTTGCTGAGGAAGCGTCACGCTTTCAAGCCTGTTAATGCTGTTGTTCCATAACAGCCCGGTTCACCTGAACTGCACCCTGCTGGTTTTTCTTAATCCGTGTAACTTGAATTAAAAGTTATGTTTACCCTTAAAAAAAAAAAAGAGGTGGGCTGAGAATCACAAAGAACTGTTTTTCTTCAGGTTAACATGGGTTCCTCTGATGGGACTGAGGGATTCTTGATAAATGCATTCCGAGATCTATCAGGAGAAGAAAGCTCCATAAGAAACCAGATCATTTTGTCACAAAGCGACAACGTTGTAGCATGTCTGAGCTTCCTCTTCTACTGCTTTAGCTACACCCAGGTCTGATTTACCATTTACTTAAAGTAGACATATGAGTTCAGTTTCAATCAGAACACAGCAGAGCCTACAGAGGTGGCAGCATCATGGTCTGTGGAGGATTACCTTTAGGGAAGGTTTTTGATTGTTTATGTCTATAATTGCCTAAATGCATTAATATAAACCCAATATTGGCTACAATACAGAAATATATTTTTAATACACACAATTGTCCATTTAGCTATCCCTTTGAATAGAAGAGTGAGCAGTTTTATCAACAAAAATAATGCTGCAATTATAGATTTTATTTGAGCAGATTTTAGTCAATAAGTTTGAATACAAAGAAATAATGAACTGCTAAAAAACACAGTTAAATGCATTCCAGTTTTGAAAAAAATCTAAAATATAAATTTCTAAATAAAAATCACGCAGCTTGTCATTGAGATCATTGATTGCTTATGTGTTCCCCTCTTGTTTGTTTTCTTTTATATTAAAAAAAGATAAGCGGCATGTAAACCTTTTCACTGCAAACCAAAGCGATCAGCTTTAGCTTGCAACCAAAAAAACTTTAATATTGGCACAAGATATATATATATATATATTTTTTTTTTTTTTTTTGCTATAACATCAAACAACAATAAACTTTCTGCATAACTTTCTCTATTTGAATACAAGTCTGTACCGTCTGAACGATGTTGCCCATAAAATGAATGAAATATTAAAATCTTGATGCATGGATTGTTATCATCAAATATACCCATTATTACAATGCATTTACAATTAAATACTCCAGTCATCAACCTTTTAGTATTTAAACCAGAATAAATCTAATTTATATTTAGAGGAAGCAGCTTTGTGTTAACTTCTTCCTTCTCTAAATTTAGATAAAAGTCAAATTTCACACTGTGTGTGTGGTTTTTTTTGTTGGTAAAATTCACATAATGGTGCGCAATTAGAAAAAACTGATTTGTTTATATATATATATATATATATATATATATATATATATATATATATATAGCATCAGATTGGTCAGGGGTATTTATAGACTGGAATATTATATTTCTGAGTCTACTGAGGATATTTAAAGTATTATATGTCAAGGCTTTTGGAAAATCAAACATTAATGTTTTAGTCAAAAACAACCAAGGAGCACCAAAACCTTATATGGTCAATTTTAATAGTTATTGTCAGTAGATTCAGCAAAATATTAGCCCAAATTATAAATATCCCTGCCAAAACAAACACACAAAAAAAACAGATTTCATAGACTTGTAAATATTGTGTGCATCTTCAGTTGTGTTTTTTGATGATGAAATAAAAACCCACCTCTTTAATTCATCAGTTGAGAACATGATATTATGCATCTCAATAAGGCAACCCTTTCTAAAAATGTAAATTTAGCACCATAATTTCACGGCAATGAAATTATTTTAACAATTTAAACCCTTAATTTAAATAAATTTGTTTACTTAAAAAAAAAAGTAATGTTCAAATACAAAAACACAAATATACCTACCCTAAATGTTCAAAATATGGTGGCAAATCTGTTTCATAAGTACTTTTAAAGTTATATTGCTCAATTTTAAGGTATATTTGTTCATCGACAGATTATTGTAAGCATTTTTCTTTCTGCTTTTCTTGTTTTAAGCAGATGTTTGAATAGGAAGTCTTCAGTAAACATTGTCCCCGCTGCTGGTTTTGGACTCTCCATCACTGCTGATTTCTCTCCTCCGCTCGCTACTTCTCTCCTGTCCGAACGAGATCTCCCCCCCAGAGACGTCCACGTCTAGCAAACCTTGCAGATGTTTGATATAGTCAATGGCCGCTCGAAGCGTTTCCACCTTGCTGAGCCTTTTGTCCTCAAAATCCCGCGGCAGGTGCTCCCGCAGACGCGCGTAACCCTCGTTAACGCAGCGCACCCGGTGGCGCTCGCGCTCGTTGCGCTTCTGGATGAAAGCAGGCTCAAAGGAGAACTCGTACATGTCTAAAGGAGCGTGGAAGGAGAAGCAGGGGACTCTCCTGCAGTGGAAACCCTGCTCCATGTGGAAGGGCAGCCCCAGCCGGAGCGCATCCTTGCAGCGCGCCGAGCTGCTGCTCATGGAGACGCCGCGGAGAACGAATGGAAGATTCTCCATGAACTCCTTATTATAAGACACGATGCTGAAAAATAAAAACGTTTGAATTTAAAAACAATATAAGTTTGCGCAAACATTGAGAATAAAGCTATTCTCACCCTGCCTGGCTCACTTACTGCTCCATTCGGACCGTGCGTCTGTCAGACTTGCAGGGCGGTTTTGAACCCATAGGGGTTTGATCTGATCAAGATCAAACTAAAAATCTTGTTCTTCCTTCCGCTCAGTGGGAAGTAACTCTCACAGCAAAGAAAAAAAAAGAAAACACATTATATGTCTTCTTATCTTTCATCAGTACTCTCTTATGAGACACATGTTTAATTATAACCCCTAAAAAAGTGTTAATACAAGTAAACCTATAACATATTTTGTAGATAATGGATAAAATCATTGATAAGTACAAATTAAAGTAGAATGGATTTAGAGCACACCGTTTAACATTTTTTTGAATCTTCAAATGACCAAAAAATAAACTATTCAGCACCATAAATCTAAGTTGACACTTTAGTAAATAAACTTCAGCATCATGAGCAGAAGGTTATTTTCATGACAGGAAGCAGTTTGTCAGCTCTCCATGTTTGGATATTTGTGGGGTCCTCAAGGGTTCAGTATTTGGTTCTCATTTATGTTTTTCACATTAATGATTTGTGTTAGGTTTCAGAAATACTAATGTGTACTAATAGCCAATTATTAGTATTTTTGCTGATGATAATTTACAAATCTTTTCACAGATGATTAATGCAGAACTAATAGTGAAGGTTTCTCAGTATGTTGCAGTGTTAAAGGAAAAGTTCAGTCATATTCAGAATTCAAACTTCTGAAAGTACTTTAAATAAAAATATTTCATACTGTTCAATTAATGATAAGTGTTTTTAATGAAGAGTAATTTTATTTGAATGTGCTTTACTGGAGACATCCATGTTTGTCAAAGAACACTACTGCCACCAACTGGTTTGTGACGTCAGGGTGCAGTATCAGCTGTTAAGGAAGTCCCAGTGCTGTATTTGGTGTTTGTCATCTTAAAAAACATTCGTCTTCGAAATGTTGGCTACATATGACATGTTTTTTTTCTGTCCAGAAGTTCGGTGGCAAATCCTCATGAATCGGAAAGGTGAAATAACTATATATTTTTTTTCACTTTTATCCGATGTATTCCAACATCCAACTGCCATGCACTTGGGCATTGTCACTTTAACAATATCTCTCACAAAATACAATGGTGAAGTCCTCTCGAAATCTTAAATAATTGTTGTTGATTGCAGATGTGTTTAGTAGTTCCCATTGATTTTGCTTGTAAAGCGGGGAGAATGGCGCTAGGCTTACCGCACCGTGACATCACTGCTGGAAGAGGAGTGAGGTGTCACTATATTTGGGCAAAAATGGCTGCTCCAAGACTCAGTGATCGCGATGAAAAATATTTCATTAAATCACCATGAACGTATTAGTTTTAGGTATAAATAATGATCCATTGATTATTCCTTAATGACCGGACTTTTCTTTTAAAGTAACACTGCAAGAGTTAAAATCAACACCAATCTGAGTGCATTTGGTCCCACTCTAGATTAGTGTTAAATTAACTTAGTTTATATCTTATTAATTATCTTATTACTTATATCTTATTACTTAGTGTATATCTTACTCGACTTGCTGAAATAACTCTATAAGAGTCAAAGTACTTTAACACTGCATATTTAACACTGTGGAATTATACATAAGCAAATTTGATTCCTTTTTTGTACAACCTCATGAAAACACATTACAAGTTCATTTCGAAGGAGTTAAAATTGAAATTAGGAATCAAATGTAATTTCTAGGAGGGATAACTGATGAACAAATATGTCTTACATAGAAATTCCACTGTGTTAAATATGTAGTATCAAAGTACATTGATCCTTTTAGAATTATTACAACAACAACTGGAGTAAGATACGCACTACATAGAGAGTTAATTTAACATTAATTTCAAGTGGGACAAAATGCACTCTTAAAGTGTTACTTTAACGCCGCAAAATTTAAAGGGGTTGAATATTGAACAATGCAAAACAGGCTCTGGATTACCAATAATATCTTATTTAACACTGTTTAATTCCACATCTAAATTTCTAAGGGGTTTGGAATTATAAGATTGTACAACACCCATATTCACTTATATAAGAAGACAAGGAGTAACACACACATTCATCTTGTTAGCATTTACGACTGTTTTAATTTAAAAACTATGTAGAGGTTCAAATTAACCTAATTGAAATTCAGCAGAGTTGTGAGAACTGCAGCGCACTGAGTAAACATAACTTTAATACCTCATTAGATTTGAACTAATAGTTTTTAAAAAAAACCTGCGTTTGTATATTTACCCTTCTGTTGAATGAATGAATTAAAGAAACACATTTTTATATTGCTGTTACTGATTAAAGATAAAAGAAAAATACATCATACACCCCGCCTGTAAGCCTTTAAGAAAGAAAAAAACAAACAGAAGCTACAGAAAACAACTATTACTTCGTAATAAGTGGGACTCTGTTTGAAGAGTTTAAGGCTACCAGGGTAAATAAAAACCCCTTTCATCATCCAAACTGGAAAAAAATTATGTTAGAGGGCTCTGAGAATTTTACACTTACTGACAAAGGTTTGAATTGTTATTTGAGGTTGCTTCCCCATGTTATTTTGAATTTTTCCATTTTAAAATGTTCCTGTTGTAAAGTTTAAAAATAAATTGATTTATTTTCTTCTTAACACTGTTGTTTCACAGTCTGACAGACAGTTAAGTTATATAACTATCATGTTAAATAACTGATGCTAAAAGCGTATGTCGTCATGGAAAGATTAAAAACACACTCCACTATTCATGACCATTCTTCCCCCATGAATCAAGAAATAAGAAAATATTATTGATCTCACATCACTATTTTTTTTGTACCCTGCTGATGTGATTTTTACAGATTTTCCATTTTTATCAAATATTCATTATATTCATTAACCTTTTAAAGCCTGATCCAAGAATAAAACAAAACAGAAAATTACTTTTTTTTTGTTTGAATTCCTTATTTGCCCTTTTAACAAAATATGTAAAAAGAAAAGACAGAAATACATTTTTTTAATTAATAATTTATTACTATGCGATAAGTCAAGATTATTTTTTGTGTAGTCTTCTACTGGCTGTTATCAGGTATATCTGATTGTGTACAATAGGATTTTGAGCAAAGTTTTTACCATTTAATTATGCAAAAGGTGTCAGATGCAAAACATTTCAGAAACCGTGTGTATCAAATATGATACATTTGGCATTATAGGGTTAAACTGTTAGAACAAATCAGAAGTCTTAATTTAAAACTCCTAATAAGTAAAAATCACTCTATGTGTGATCTCATATTTAATATGAATCCAACTGCTCTGTCAAGGTATTCAGAGCTTTGTTAGAGAAATAAATCAACCAAAGGCATCATGCAATTTTCAATAATGTAATATGCTATAATGTACAGTTATATAACATAATATAATATAATACAATACAATACAATACAATAAATAAATAAGGTAGTTATTACAAAGACAAATAGATAAAGAAGCTAATTAAAACAGATATATACATTAATGTCTCACTTTATAATTTAATTTCTACCAGCATTTATTGGTTTATTGTACTTTTGGGGGCAATTAATTGTATGCTTATTTATTTATTGAGCATTTATTAATTTATGTATTTATTTTTAAATATGACCGGATTGGTCTTCCACAGAAGACCAAAAAACCTAAAATGAATAAATATATAAATAAATAAATACACACCGCTGGTCAACCGATACAAAATAACTTTATTGATATAGAAACGTCTTCACAATGGAAAGCGAACCGTATAATCCGGGAATGCGCATGCGCAACATCGATCCGCTGTCATGGCTTCTTCCAGGGAGCTTTTGTTTTGGTATGTTGTTCTTTCTCGACAAATTGGGAATATATCTGCAAGAACGTAAACATTTTTTCCTTCCGCTTTGGGAAACTCTGCTCCGTTGGTATTATCCGTGGAGACGTGACTTTTAAATAGCAATGATACGTTTATAAACAAAGAAAGATAATGTTTGTTTTGTTGTTGCTAACAAGCTAGCTACATCGATGCCGTTTGTTATATTTATCAAACGGGTAAATACTCTTGTCTTGTCTTGTTCATGCTTTTGAAGTTATGTCCCTTTATTCCCACAGGGGATTAAGTAGCGTTGAAATATTAAAGAACTACAGCAGTGTTTGAATTCAGGTAAGCTAAACGCTTACAGTCGTCTGCTAAATATGCTAATTTGATGCTAATTGGCTCATTGACTGGTTTTCTGGCTCTGATGAATTTTCTGTTGATTGTTCAGGATGAATGACAGGAACCTGAGTCCAGTGGGTATGGACCAGCTCAGTGTCCCCTCAGTGAGCTCCAGCCACCTGGGTCTACCCACTTCTCCCACGCACAATCCAATCCCCACCCCAGGTATGGAAACTCATGCAGCAACTTTTTTTCTTGCTAAAGACAATCCGGATTTAATCGGATTTACCCCACAATCCTTGTCTTTATTCATTGTGTTCACATTTCCTGGGCTGCCAACTTTTCACCAAACCTTGGGGTGAGATTTTGAAATAACCTTTTAGGGTTCGATGAGGATAGGTGCAGCTGTAGGTTGGAGGTTTTCAGAGGATTTAACTGAAACAAAGTCTCATTTTTATGCAACAGCAAATGTTACTGAGTAACAATAAGTGGTCTGTAGTTATGGGGAACATTTTTGTCACAATATACATTATTTTCTACATTCTGGTGATTTTTAGAGAATTGAAGTAAAGCAGATTGGGCTCTACTAAAATACTTTCATCTTAAATATACTTTAAACTAAGAATTGTTAAAGATAGGCTAAAGCTGCGTTCACACCAAATGCAGCAGGAGCAGCAGACGCAGCTAGTATACATGCAGAGTCAATGGTTGATGTGCGTCAAGGAGCAGCAAATTGTCCCACAGCACGTTTTGAGCAGCAGGCGCAGCGCGTCTGAGCATCTGACCCTCAAATACGCTGCTGCTCGAGGTGGAAAAATTGAACTTTTGCTGCTCGACGCACCGCATCAACCAATCAGAGAAGCTGATCTGGGAGCTGCCCGTGAGACAGACACCTCTCTGATGATACAGAGCATTATGATCAC